ACTAAATCAAAAGCAAGGATTATTATAATTACGGTCAAAGTGCATTGACCAATTCTGTACTCAAGTATGGCAGTCATTTACGCTAGCAAAGTCCCAGAAACAGCCTTGAGGTGAATGACCAATTCATAAATAATAATCCTTGCATTTGATGTACTGTAGTTTCATATCACAATGTTGAGACATCTCAAAGGGGTTCACAGGATTTTATTGTGAAGTGTAGTGACTGTGCTTTGTAGGCAATTAATCTGAGGATTGTTAGCCAGGGATTTTTTCCTTACTCCACACTCCCGTTTACCTAGCAGTATGTAGGAACCCGGTTGTTAGTCGATTAGCAGATCGTTTTCCGGGGGTAATAATTCCTCCCCACCACCCCCAATAAAAAAAGATCACTCAATCCATGACTGTGGGACACTGCTCTGGAACAACAATAGGGGGGTGAAGGTTGAAAAGGTGAAGGGCGCAAGCAAATTTCCTGCAATTTAAGTGCTCTGAGACTTATCCTGCATGGAGGGTGGTATATAAGTGCAAGTTGTTGTTGCTGTGCTGTACTTGCTCTCTTTTGTGCGCTTTACACCTCTGTGACAATACAAGCTGGATCATGAACATCACAAAAGAGATGAAGAAAGCCCTTCAGCCCACCTGATCTTCTACTTCCAGAATATCCACCCTACCAGCTTCTTATCACAGAATCAAGCTGATTTTTAAGTCCAGTGTCCTGGCCTCAACCCTCCTTCCTGACAACCTGTTCCAGTGGTTAATTACTTCGTGCAAAAGGTAACAAAGAGCTTGAAGACTTTCTTAGATTAGTGACAGAACTTTGACTTTGTTGGAAGAGTATGACTTCAGGTGTGAAAGTGTTAATAGATTAAATAAAAGTCAGCTCCTAGACCAGGCCTGACTGCTCTGGCTATTTTCTGTGCTTTGGCTCAGGGTTTTATAGTTGCTAACAGTTTGAGCTGTCGTAAATCTGCTAAATGTTTCTGTCTTGTATCAGTCAACTTGATAAATGTATTAATGTGCTGTAAGGGGGAGGGTGGATCTGCTCCCATAAGGATCACTTTCAAAGATACAGTTACAACGTGGTAAACATTTTGATTAAACACAAGCAGAAAAGCCAAATAGCACACGGACAGAATTTTTTTACATTTATTCAGCTAATCAATGTTCCGGTTTTTCCTTTTTCTACCCTGCCCCTTCTCTGTTTATCCTTATAAACTGCTCCCTTTCAACATCCCTCAATTCTGACGAAACGTCATTGACCTGAAACGTTAACTCACTTTCCTCTCTCCATAGATGCTGCTTGATCTGCAGTGTTCCCAGTGACTTGTTTTTATGATTCTATAAACTATAACATGCAATCTCCCATTTTCAATGCATTGAAGAGAAAGAAGCTGATTCATTCTGTTTTTATTTAAAAAAACAATTTTTTTTACATTAAACATGAGATTAAGGTACATAACACAGACGTTTCACCCACAGAATATACAGTTAATTCACATTACAGTATATTCTGTGAAACGCTTTGAGACGTCCTGAAGATGTGAAGGATATAAATGTATTACCTGTGATGCTCAATATTATTGGGAGCGTGGGCTAGGTCCTGTACTCGTGTCAATTGATAACTGTACACATTCATATTAATAAGCTAGTCAAGGGAATGGGAGATGTTACCAACAGCGTTTTCAGACAACGTAAATGCCTACCAGATATCAACTCTCGCTTCTGATTCAAAAGGTTGTGGATTCAAGTGTCACTTCTGGACTTTGAGATCAGAGTCTAGCCTCATAATCCAATGTAATGCTGGGGAACTGCACCATTGTCAAAGGTGTCATCCTTAAGAAAAGATGTTAAACCGAGGCCTTGTCTGGCTGGATGTTAATGGATCCCATGGCATTATTCAAAAAGATAAGGGAGTTTCTCCCAGCGCCCTGCCCAACAATCCTGCAGATAAAATAATTGTTTATTAACTTTATGGTTAATCTTATCAAACCCTTTCATAATTGTAAACACTTTTCCTGGGACATTGCTGTGTGCGAAGTGTTACGATAGGTATGTTTCACTCTTTCTCTCCCATTCACTTTTTATCTCCCTCACTCTCCTTGTCTCTCTCTCTCTCCCTCTCATTATCTGTGCTTTCACACTCTGATAATATCACTAGTTTGTGCATATCAATGAGCACTGGTTGCAGTCCTGCCCCCAAACTCCATTTTCTAAACAATGTTTGAAGCAAACATACAATTGAAGTTAATGTTGCTTTTCTTTTTTTAAAAAAATCCCCCAAAAAGTCCATTCTCTAGGTCTTCTTTGAACACATTAGTAACTCTGGATTGAGAAAAATACAATACAATTGTCGAGATCTTTGGGACCTTATGCCAACATGAAAGGCACAATATAAATGTAAATTATATTGCATTTTTCATCTAACCCCCAGGGTTAGATCTTCACTGACCAAGAAAAACTCCACAATGGGACCACGATGGAAACAGTACGGTGTAAGTTTACAAGGATGATACTACTGCAATCAGGATAGACTGGATAGGCTAGGCCCTTTTTTGCTAGAGACGTATAAGGGGAGACCTAATAGGAGTATTTAAAATTATAAACAGATTTGAAAAGGTTAGCAGAAATAGGCTGTTTCCACTCTTTGGAGAGTCCATAACCAGGGGACATAGGATTAAGATGAGGGGGTCTAAAAGAGAATTTAACAGGTACTACTTCACACAGAGGGTAGTGAGATTGTGGAACTTGTTACCTGAAACGGTGTTTGAATCAAATAATATAGATACATTTAAGAGGAAGCTAGATCTTCACATGAGAAAAAGGGGAAGGGAAATGTATGGGAGGGAGTAAGGAATGAAGATTCATCCAGAGTATAAACACCAGCACAGATTAGTTGGTCCGAGTGGGGTGTTTCCTTCCTGTACATTCTTTGTATCCCACCACCCAAGATCTCTGTTACGAAGCACATTTTGAAAAAAAAATCTATTCTTATACTTAAAACTCCTGTGACTCCAGGGAAGTAGGTCTCCCTGATAGAATTTGTTGAACTGTTTTGAGAACTAGCATATACCTGAGACAATGTGAGGCTTGGTTGTTTTGGTGCCTCTGGGTTTCGATGGTGTACTTTGGACCTGTTTATTTTTTTATTTTCGTTAATGAGGTCAATGGTCTGTTTCGTACAATCCTCTGCCATTCCTGGAAATATTTGCTGACCATTTATGAAATATCTCAGCCCTTGGAACACGTTCACCAGTCTGGTACAGTTGGTACAGTCGAGTTTGTGCCACGCAAAGCATGAGTATTTCAGGAACTGACTAAAATCCACTGGTTCTATAATTTTAATGTTGTGATCTTTATTTACACCAGCAAATTAATCATTATTTATCAGAATCCATTGGAATTCTTTTCCCCTTCTTCTGAAACCATGTTTTCTTTTACTTCATACTGATGATTGCTTAATCAATTTATTAAGCAATACTCTGTCCACATGGTCATTTTGATGTGTGAGCTTTGACAATCAGTAACCCGGAACATTACCCTGTGTGAAGGGTGCAATATAAATGCAAGTTGCTGTTGTTTAGTGGTGGCAAACTGTTTGATTAAAGGGGTTAGAAAGGTGGGTCATCGCAACTAAACCTGAACCCGTCTTTGTCAGACCTTGGCACACTCACCTCCAGCAAGCATTACTGGTGTGATCAGAATTGGCAATCTGGCTTATTTTTCACTCTCTACTACAGGATGCCGAGGGCCCGTTATAATAATTTCCACTTATATAGGCCATTCACATCAGGAGGACAGCTCACTTGTAGTGTTCTCACTTCAGTCTTCCTTGGATCAGCTAAATCTGGACAAATAAGGAGACTATCCTGGGATCTCTGTATTCTTGAAGAACTCACTTGATAACTATCCTGAATTAAAAGGGGAGTCTGTTAGAAACACAGAAATTTGCAGCGCAGGAGGTCATTCAACCCATTGAGTTGGCACCAGCTCAGAGCATGATAAATTCAATCTGCCTTATCCACATACTCCTTCAAGCCTTTCACATGCCTGTCTACATCCCTTTTGAAAGCTACAATGGACTCCGCCTCTACCACGCTACTCGGCCAGATGTTCCATATCCCAACAACCTTCTGGGTGAAAAAAAACTTCCTCCTAAAATCTCCTTTTACTGTTCTTGTGGCTATCTTGTAACTATGGCCCCTAGACACTGACTCCATCAATTCAAATATCTTCTCTCTATTTACCCTAACAAAACTCCTCAATTTTGCACACATCTAGCAGATCCCTTCTTCAACCTACTCTGCTCCAATGAAAATAGATCCAGCTTATCTCTCCTCATAACTGTAGCCCTTCATCACTAGAATCATTCTCAAAAACCTCCTCTGCATCCCCTCCAAGGGCTTAACATCCACCCACAAGTGAGGTCCCCAAAACTGGAGTCAGTACCGTCTAATTAGAAATCAGCACAACAAACTATGATTTATTGATGATGCAGCTCCCACAGATACTGTCTGGAATAACAGATCTCCACCTGTTGCCGTGTCTTTTCGTGTCACCTCCTAATTTTAAATTGGAATCTCACAATAGCTACCTTAAAGATTGCATCAGCAGTGCAGACTCAAGGTACTTTACACATGTCTATTCCCTTAGCAAGATTTTTGTTTGTCATTCTATATCAACCTTTTCGGATCTTAATTATCGCTGCACTTTTAAAAAAAAAATCATGATGCACTTAACTCAACTGCAAATAATTATAAAAATTGGTCATTCGCTTCACGTGGGGCATTGCTGTGTGCAGGTTGGCTGCTGCTTTCGCCTACAAAACACAGCTACTAAACTTTACAACATATTGTGTTAAATGCTTGAGACATTGATGATATAAAGCTTGGTTATCAAGTGCAAGGATTACTTATTAAATATGATCTCCAAAGTCAACATGGCTTAATGCACCTCGGAGGAAGTGTGTTGAGACTATTTGGAAAACAAAAGGACAAAACAGGTTTAATTTTTTGATTTTATTGAAACAATGAGAGATTTTACCCCCCTCCAATGATAACAGTGAAAAGAAATCTGCAAATATAAAGGTGATCTTTCTTTACAAACCATCCCCATTGTTCCGTACCTATAAATATAACTTTTGAAACCTCATGAAAAAGTGCACATCATCCATCAAGTACTGAAATACATGGTTAAGTAAAGAATGCACTAGTTCCACAGTCACTAAGGTGTGAAACTGAACATAAGAAACCATTACCAGTCAAGCAGCCTTGCTAACCAAAGCGCAATGCAATACACCATCTGCATCAAACCCAACACTTTGATGCTTTTTTTGTTTGTTTTCTTCCAAGTCGGACACTAAAAAAGTAAATATTCACACAGAAAAAAAAATAACTGAACCACCTTATTAAATATCGGTCACAACTAGAATCACATTCAGTAGAAAATTAGAAAAAAAACACACAGGCAAAAGAATCAGAAAATGTTAACTGAACACTTTTGCAAGAATTAATTGAAAAACATTGTGAAAAAGCAAAAAAAAAAATCCCCATTAGCTGCAGACCACCATGAACTCATTTCATTGTCCACTTTGTCCACTCAATGCAGGTACCAGGGATAATTTTTCTCACCAAATATATGAATTAGTCAGACAAAATTTTATAAAAGACATTATTTAGCTCCCTATACTTATTAAACATGTTATGTCAAATACTGCCAGAGCCATAGTTTGTATCTGGAAATGATTAGTGAACCTTGTTCTAATGCAGCTTTTTTCAAATACAAGACAAGGCAGCTGCGCTGAAATGGATAACGCCATTATGCTCGTCTCATGCATTACAATATCTTGCTTCATATACAGTAGATCATACATAAAGCATAAAACCTAAGAGGCAGAACATCTTGTTTTTGATTATAATCATTGAATGTACATAGTACCAAGGAAACCATCCAAGATTGATTATTTGTGTTAATACTGTTGGGATTACTAACAAAGCAAAAAAAAATAGAAACTACAAGAAAACGTCAGCACGCACCACAAAAATACTTCAGTTTAAAATAGTGTAACAAAAAAAAGCTAAACATTTCTTATCAAAGCAATTGCCAATTCAAACATATGGCTCTCAAGGCTTACTTTAGTCTAGATGCACAATAGGAATATACATTCATTATGTTTAGTCATCCAGAAAATTAAGGTATTAGAAAAGATTTCAAGTTTTAGTCCCCATTACTTAAATTTAAATCCAGTTTTTTTTTGCCAGCACACACCTCAGAAAAACTCATTCAAAAGGTTTCACATCCCTACTTTTGGCGGTGGTGCTTTCAGCTATCATTTTCACATCTTCAGAAACCAACACATCAAATTTCCTTATTTCGGCCATTTACAAAGTTCTATGCACTCTGGTTGTTCTAAAGCAGTGGTGACTGAACTTTTGGTTGGCCAACAAAATGCATTTTCGTGATTGAATATTTATGCCATAAATCAAGAAATATTCAATCAAGAAAAATTTGGAAACACACTGCCAATCGAACGTGGACTAGTGCTAGTGCTAATGTTCGGAGGTTGGTTGGGTGGGGGGCTTCTTGACAGCCCCACAAGCCATGCGAGTTGGCCACGACTGCTCTAAAGTATAATGCTTTTTACTGTTATTTGAGCACTTATCTTGCGACATGAACCACAGCTCCCAGAGAGAATATTCGTTATTCCATCTCCAGAATGATAACCAGGTTACAGGAGACATTAGCACTGTACTCCACTGTGAAACACATGGGTATTAATGGACATGTGCAGGCACACAAGAACTGCATGCGCCGGTAACTCCATGCATGACAACTAAGCCAACAATGCAAACAAGATCAAAATCACCTTCTGTTGTCACTAATGAGTAGCACTGCATTGACAAGTGTACACTTCAATTTTAAAGCTGCATTTAAGATTAGAGCAACACGAGTACAGCACTTAATAAGTACAACAGATGCAACCATCACTTTTCAAGTAAGGCCAGTTTCTTCATATCGGACAAGTGTTGTGCTGGTCAGGACAGCACGTCACCAATAAAATTTCAGACGTAATGAGGTTTGTGCAAATCTTCAACAAGGAAATTACACATCTCCTTTTCTTAAAAGATGCTTTTTTGTGCGAATTTTGTAAGATAGCTGAGCTATGATGATGAGAGTTGATAATAAACTAGGCATTTCCATTTAAAATTAGAAAATATGTCCTTCTTCAGATAGAAAGCTACATAGTAGTGTACCATCAAAGTATCTGCACAATGACCATTAAACACATCAGTCCCGACTCTTATAACCTCCTTGATGCCAGTTGTTCAGTTTCAATTACTGTAGTGCCGAAAGTGCTACACGGAGGTAGTTTCTGATGGATTACTTGTCACTGAATGTACATTTCTACTGCATTTTTCATACATTTGTGATAATTTTGGCACAAAGTGAACCCCTCCTGTGTTTCAAATAAACATATAAAGAAACCAACACACAATAGGATTTGCTCTGTGGAATTGTGTGTTTTTAGTAAGAATCCAAGCTCAGAAATGGTCAGTATTTAGAGGGTTTAACCAGAAATTTATATTATATTAGCACGCTTCAATATTGTCAGTATTTTCTATCTAGATATTATTAGCATTTATTATGTAGAAAAGTCAAAGACGTGCTGCCACACAACATTCTGGTCAAACAACTTTCTGCAATTGTTAGAACCCACAGTCGAGGGTGCATTGGGTAGCAATGATCTTCCCAGGAAATCACTAAGGGTAATAGATTGTTGTAAAAGGTACTCTCATTTCTACACTAGCCCGATCCTTGAATAAGAAAACACAATGCCAAGTATACACAACACCAAATTCTGAAAAATCAAATGCTACTGAATTCAGTTCGGAACCTTATCTAATTCTGTTTGATGACTAGCAACAGAATTCTTCTGATGGTCTTAATCCTAACCTAGATTGTTTCCTAAAATAAGGCATCAAACACTCAGGCCCACCACCTTGTGACATTCATCACTCAGTCTTAACCGGAAATGTGCAGTAACAGAACAAAAATACATCACTTTCCTTTGGTACATTTGTATTTCTCCTCCCTATTAATAACACTAGCTGATATCTCACTCTCGCCTTAACTATGAGTGTGTAATAAAAAATGATCACAACTAATGACAGCTAAGCTCAGTGATGCTGCCACTCCTTTTTTTAAAAAAAACTAAACCTAATTATTTACTGCAACTTCACAGTTTCAATTGATCGGCGCTTCACTGGCCAATAATTAGACATTGATGTGAAATACTAAATGTCCCACTGTAGCCACTTCAAAGGCAGATCTCTAATCTGACATATAGAGCTTTTTATACTAGACAAGTCCTATGGGTCAGCTTGTGTGTATGGACTTCATTGTTTCGTTTACTGACGAAAGCTCCGCTCATTGGCAAAAGATGACCTAGTTTCTCAAAGTGCCCTTGTAGATACAGCTAGAATTTTGATGCTTTACATATAGATTTTTAAAACAGATTTTGTCTGCTAAATATACAGTTTTACTCATCGCTCTCTCTCACTTTACCACTCAATCTCTCTTATCCAAATTTAACCAGATTTTATCTAGAACAAACCTATGCTTCTTTGCAAGTACAATTCTCCAGTATTAACATTAACTATTAAGTCCCAATTTTACTTCCAGTCATAGCTTCACTTAAAACCTCAAACCCAATTCACAATAAAAAATTTCCACTGAACTTCCTTTCCATTTGAACAAGTAATGAAACACTGGCAAATTAAGGAGTAGTTCTCCTCCTCCAATGCCCTAAATGTCAAACTCCTAAGGACATAGAGTAAATCCGTCTCAAATAATACAAATTCCTGACTGTAATTGGCTAGGATGGAGAATGTTTCTGCGTCTACCTTACCTTAGGAAAACAAACATAAATGCAATTTAATAGGAACTGTGAACAAAAAGTGGAACTTTGGGGGAACAATATTTACAATGAACTCTGCACACAACCTAACATTCAATTTTCTCTATTCAAGACTAAAACCTACCAAGTAAATGCTACTATTGGGGGGCAATTATGCAATCTCTGTAAAGATTTCAGTGGCTGTCAATTTACATAACTAAGTGCACCTGTAAATAATGTATGTGTTAACATTGGTTGACACAACTCACACAACAAACTCCAGCAATTACATATGGTTTATGCAACTCATATTATCATTCATCACTTATCCCCATCCCTTTGCAATTCTACCGAAGCCATACACTGTTAATCCGACTATTAAGGTACTCATTACTGTGAGATCCTCTGGGTCCAATATCTCAGCAGTTGTGTTATAAGTAAAGTGTGAAAAATGGCAAATTTCCAGGACGTCAGCTTGCTGCCAACATCCCTTCCTATGTGTTGTTCGCATGTGCAAGTAGCACTGACCTCACTTTTTTCGCAAAGCGATGTTAGTGCTGCTTCCTGTGCATAGGAGGCATACACAATGTACAGGAAGTTACATCAATGTGCATGCAATGGACAGGACGTGATGCCAGGGATGACCTAAGACTCAGAAGTTAGCATTTTTTAGGCCTAAAGCTGACTAGTTAATGCCAGAAGCCAGGTATAACTCAGGACATCAAAGTTAGAAGCAAAACCTTGATATACCACAACAGGAGCATTATAACAGGGCTGCCATGTAGTAATATTTTCACCAGTCCTATGTGTTTTTATATATATATACAAACTAATTTCCATTTTATTATGGATGGTTACATTCCAGACTAAGAAAACGAAAAGAGGTACACATGAAGGATTGTGGCTATAGTCAAACACAAGCTAGGATAATCAACAGGTAGATCAGAAATGCATGCTGCATTTTAGATGAGATCACATATACATACACACACACACACAAACACATATATCAACACATGCACACACAGACAAATATACTTATTGTTTAACTGCTTGTCTGTCTTCAGTGAACCAGGTTCCTACATCATGGGTCTACGGAACTCCTGAATTTAGCTTATAAAAAGGCAGATGTGCAAACAGAATTTTGCTATAATGCAAATAAGAAAGCAATTCACAGGAAGAGAAAAACGTTCACGTTAAATTTAAAGCAAACAATACTTTGTAGATATGAGTTTTCTGTCCAATTCACATTTGGCTAAGAGCCCATTTTCCAAACAACCAAGGCCCTCAAACCCCTCCCCCTTCACATTAATGATGACTATAACCAAGAACAGTAGCATTGCCAAATGTACACCAAGAGTGTGGAAATCTGGTGAGTGATTAGAAGTAAAGCAGTGCTAACGTTTCAGTGTTAAAACTTTAGTGTCAACATTTTGGTTAATTTACAAACAGCATAAATCGCACATCATTGCCACAGAGATTGGGGCAATCATTGAGAATGGGCTTCGTATGTATTGTCCTGGTAACTGAGAATCAGCATGGATACTGATTTAGTTTCATTCGTGGGTCATCCATCATCAGTCTTGATGCAAGAAATGTCAGCATTCCTCCACCTTCAGGTCATGTAGTGAGTTATGGCACGCAGAGCATACAGGAGTTCTGCCTGCATACGCGCTTCCATTAACAGAAAATTAACATGAATCTAGGAACAATTAGAAAAGCCTTATGTGAGTTAACAGTAGTAACAATGGGCACAGACCTTCATCCAATGACTTCCTCATCTTATCTGTACAACTATGGGGAGGCCTAAAGTGGAAGCTCTTTACCTCCCATCGTGTAAGACACTTTCAAACACCTGATTTCAGAGAAGCATATTTGCCCACTCATTGTGGTACAAATGTTGGGGAGATAATAGTTTTATATAACAAATACACACACACTTAATATAGGAATAGAGGAAGTTTGTTGTTGACATTACGATAGGAGGTGCAGGAAGAGCAGAAAATTGTGAAAAGGATATGGACAGATTAAGCAAGTGGACAAAACCAAGGCAGATGGAGTTCAGCATACAAGGTAATTTCCTTTGGATGCAAGAACGACGATGGAAATGCAATCTAAATTGGAAGTACTGGGAGAGAGCGGGCTGATGATCAAAGGGATTTAGTGATCCAAGATCATAAGTCATAAAAAGCAAGTTCACAGGTGCAGAAAACCAAATCCAAACGGGATCTGGGACTCCACTAATGGGGGTATCATAGTAAGGAAATGTTGCTGCTGATATACCCGATATTAGTTAGGCTTCTGTGTTAAATTTTGGACACACAACCTTATGAGGAATATACAAGTGTTGGAGAGTGTCCAGCGATAACTCACTGAAGTAATACTGGGATGGAAGGGGCTTAACTATGAGAGGAAGAATATGGGTTATGGTCTCTTGATCTGAGGAGGTTAAAGCATGATGTAATTGAGATGTTCACAAGTTATAAAAGGAATGGACAAGTTAGATGGGGAATGTTTCTTCACTTTAGTAAAGGAATTTAAAACAAGGGGATATTGTCTTAAAATTAGAGCTCATGCCAGTTAGAAGTCACATCAGAAAACATTCCTTTACACAGATCAATGCAGACAAACAAGTATTGAACTCTTCCAGAAGTTCATAGGTGCACAATCGATTGAGATATTTAAAAGGGAGATAGCTACTTGGGAATTAAGGATTTTAAGGTATGTAGAGAAACATCTGGGAAATGGGAATTAAAAGATCTACTAGGATAATAATAATTCTTGCATTTGATATAGCGCCTTATCATGTCTTCATAAGAAATGTTAGATGAAAAAAGACCAAGGTCCATCTTGTTCGCCTTCCACCTTCCTGGCTATCGCCTGCACATATGTCTCAAACTACCTATGTACTATATGCCATAATGTTATTTCCTAAAAGAAAACTATCTAATCTGTGTTTGAAAGAATCAACATTTCCTCCTTCGACCGTGTCCCTAGGGAGCCAGGTTCACTATTCCCTTGCTGAAATAGTGTTTGCATAGATTCATTCTGAATTTCCCCCCCTTCAATCGCAAGCCGTGTCCTCTGGTTTTATAATAATCCTTGCATTTGATATAGCGCTTTTCACGTCGGGAGGACGTCCCAAAGCGCTTCACAGAACACACTGTAAAGTGAATTGACTGTATATTTGTGGGCGAACGCGGCAGCCAATTGCGCACAGCAATGTCCCACAAACAGTCGTAGATTGAAAATGACCAATTTATTATTGTTTTTAGTTTTGGAGGGATTATTATTAGGCGTGTGGAGTAAGGAAACTTGCCCAAGGTTTCGCCCTCTGCCTGGAATTGAACTCAGGTCTCTCACTTGCAAAGCGAGTGCTCTAACTACTGAGCTACAGGACTCCACTATTCTGGACAAGTTGAAACAGCCTGTCTTGATCTATATTCTCTTGCCCCTTTAGAATCTTAAAGACAGGAATCATGTTGCCTCTCAATCTTCTCTTTTCCAGCGTGAACATGCCCAATTTACTTAGTCGCTCCTCATAGTCCAGTCCTTTCCATTCTCTCAAATCATGTTGGTTGCCCTCCTCTATATTTTCTCGATTTCTCCAATATCCTTTTTGTACTGCGGCGACCAGAACTGTACACTGTACTCTATTATGGTCTCGCCAATGATTTATAGTGGCAGAGTTACCCCACTAATTTGGCTTGCTATTGATCTTTTGATGCATCCCAACATCTGGTTTGCTTTACTCACAGCCACAGAACATTGTTGCGGGAGCTTCAATTTATTGTCAATCAGATCCCCTACGTCTTTTTCATTTTTCATACATATTATTTTCCTTCCGTTCAAATAATAGTCCCTTCCAGGATTTTTTGTCCCCATGTGTAGTACTTTACATTTCTCCACATTGAATTTCATCTGCCACCGATCTGCCCAATTCCCAAGTATGTTCACATCCTCCTGTAAGCTATCTTGTTCAGCTTCGCAATCTACCACCTTCATTTGCTTGGTGTCATTGGCAAACTTAGCCACTGCTTGTGACTCCTACTTTCTAGGTCTTCGATACATCTCAAAGTGCTTCACAGATTATACTGTAAAGTGTAGTGACTGTATATTTGTGGACAAAATGCAGCAGGCAATTGCGCAAAGCAATTGCCCACAAACAGTCATTGATTGAGTGACCAACTTATCATTTTCTTTTGAAGGAATTATTATCCCCGGAAAAGCAATCCACCACTGGACTAACAACCATGAACTGACGTTTATTGGGGGGGGCTGACATTTATTTGGGATGTAATAAAATAGCAGAAACAGACTCTTTCTGTGGGGAAGAATACAAAACCTTGAACTGAACTTTTACAAAAACTTTAGTTTCTACAAGCTGAGGTGAATTTAAAAGCAACAAGTTAGCCATCAGAGAGTAATGATTTCCTGATTCTGTGATTTAAAAAGCCTGAAACTCCACGACAATCAGATTTAAAATCTACAGATCAGCAGATCCTAACATAGTTACCACTGTAGGTACATTTGTTCAAGAAGACTTGAATTAGGAGGGACAGGAAATCACATCCGCATTGGTTGCCAGATGTGACGCAAGTAGAAATCACTTTTCTTAATTTGACAGTAATATGACAATGGATCTTTCAAGTTGACCCTGTAAAATTTCACTGACAACAAGATCTTTCTGCAGGGGCTATCAACAGGTTTACTTGTCAATGGTTCAATTCACACTTCTTGATTTTTGTACAATTTTCATTTCAGGGGTTGACTGGATTGTATCCATTAGTGGATTGACCCAGTTAAATCTGACGTAACCATATCAATCATTGGAAACTGCGTTTTTCAAAGGCTTTGAAAGTGAGCCAAAAGCCCATAACAATAATTTTTTTGTTTTTTAAAGTTGTTTTGGGGAATAGACTATGAAAGCTGTAAGTAAGATACATAAAATAGATTCTGAAAGTTAATAAAACAAGAAGTCAAAGTGTAACTTTTAACAAATAGAATAGGTGAATAAAAAGGAGAATCCCTCCTACATTGTAAGGTCTTTTTCGTGACAGTTACTCTGTTCAGAGGCTTTGGTGGAAAACAGCACTAAAGCAATGGAATTACATATTATAGTATTTTTGCAAGATTTTTTAAATTAAGGAAAATTATATATTTTTATATGGTATATTTTTGTTTGTTTTAAAAAATCCAAATAGACCTCCAAAAACATATTTTGCAATTTGCGTTACTCACTTTTTCAGAGTGTTTGAACTGCCTCCAATAGCTATCATACATGCGTTTTGTGGTTCTCTCAGGATAGCAGGTCACTGTCTTGATATAAACTTTCAGGCTACGTTCCAGCAACTGATTGACTTCACCATAATCGTAATCATCATATCTTTTTTAAAAAAAGAAAAGAATTTTACCAATTTGTTCCAAGTTTGTATTAAACAGGACACAATCAATTATACATGCATACATTTCTGCTAATTCATTCACTTTGCTATAATCATATCAAAATAAGCTCTGCAAGCATATTAAAATGGCACTGCATTCAGCAGTTGAGAAAATAGGTCTTTATCCTGTTTCCATTTGAGGTCAAAGCCCATGTTCAACATTCTTGAGTGTCAGGGTCTAAGAAATGAAGAACTAGCCAAAGAAAATAAACTCAGCTAAAAATATAGCTGTGCTCCAGTTAAATAATACTAAGAATAAACAAGTCAACCCAGAATTCTCCAGATCCTGCAAAGATAATTAAATGAAGCACCAGTGAAAGAAGCATAGATCCTAAGTATAATACAATTTGCATTTATAAAGCACCTTTCACATTGGGAGAACATTTCAAAGAGCTTTACACAGCTGGCAAGTTACCCAAACTAAGGTGGGTGGGTGGGAGAGAGAAAGATGTCTGAAACCAATCAAATAGTCTTAAGGCAGGCTTTAATAGTGGTGTGGGAAGGGGCGAGTCCGAGGCACTCTGGGTTGGAGTGCCAAAAGAAAACAAAGTTAATACAAATTTACTGCTAGATTTCATTCGATGATTATAAGTCACAACTCCATCTGCAACTTATTCACGACCAAATCAAGCCCAGATCCAAATCATGAATGCAGTGACACCAATCAGTCCCTGGAGAACTTTACTTTCATTGCTAGTTAGTCAGCTTTGAAACTGCAGTAATCAGATTTGGACCTCAATTGTGTGCAGCAATCAATTTTTAAATAAATTTCTGCTTTGAGAATAAGAATTCAATTTAAATCAACATCGGACAAAATGGAATTGCATTACACTTTCAATTTCAATTTGATGTAGAAAGTGCCCTGAATTGATAACTGCGTAAAACACTAATTTTCTTCTTCGGGGTATATTTACTCTCTCCTATTTAGAGTCTAACAGACCTTACAAGTCCCTGTTTTTATAGAAATAAAGTCGTACCTTATACCAAACATACAATGAACATAGTGCCATATAGCTCTTCTTAATGTGGTTGTGTCCACGTCTTCATGTATTGCCATAGTGTTGTAGGTTAGATTGCGGACCATGCGAAATTTTTCATCCAACAGGTGGCCAATGTCGGAATAAAGTCTGTTCACAAGAGAAAAGCCATGGTCTTCCCAGGAGTAGTCCTGCAAAAAAAAAAAAGGGTGACAGACACACAAAGATACAGATGGAAAATAAAGACAAGAGAAAGCAGAGAGCATTGATAGCAAGAGTCGAGAGGAGAATAAAAATCTGGTGGCTTCCAGAGTTATACAGAGAAATGAATGTCAAGCAAAAGAATCATGACATAAACCTGGCTCATATTCTTCACTGACACCTAGAGTATTTTGTAAAACCAAACACAACCTCCTATGTTTCTCCCTTCTCCTGTGGTCTTAAAGGTATCGACTCTTTGCTGGAGTCCAGTTCCATAGACACTCATGTAGCTATTTTTTGAATTGTGAATCAGACAGTGAGTTATTTGAATATGGCAACAGCTCAGCTGAGCCCGATGCTGTACTCATCTGATATATGCACAGGTACTTTTGCCATCAAGAGTTACTACACAGCAGTCAGCGATGTCTCAAACCGCAGGCCGCCGAAACGCTCATACACGCATTCATATCGTCCAGGCTTGACTATGCAAACTCCCTGCTTCCAGAACTCATCATCCAGATCTCTGCAGCCCGTGTCCTCTCCCGCATCAGGCTCCGTGACCCTATCACCTCCATCCTCACCCAACTCCACTGGCTTCTCATCACACAGAGGATACAGTTCAAGATCCTGGTCCTCTCTTCCAAAGCCCTCCATGGCGTTGCTCCCCCCACCTCTGTGACATCCTAACCCCCTACCAACCCGCCCGATCCCACTGTTCAGCGGGCTCCGGCCTGCTTCACGTCCCCTGTCTCGCTCGCCCCATCATTGGTGGGCAAGCTTTCAGTCACACTCCTCTGGAACTCCATCCCGCAGTCCCTCTGCCTCTCCCCCTCTCTTGCCTCTTTCAAGACCCATCTCAAGACCTTCCTCTTTGACCGTGCTTTCGGTCACCTTCCTTCCGCCCCCCCTGCCTCCACCCTCCCAATCCCGACCCCTAGCTCGGGTCTGAAACATTGACTGCCCAGCAGCCTGGGACGTCCTCTTGCCGTGAAAGGCGCTATACAAATGTAATCTTGTTGTTGTTGTAATTTTATTATAGTTGTTGAGGCTTAACTGAATTTCCTTTTGGTAAACCAGAAGTTACTGAGGTCAATCCAACTGCTCCCCCACTGATATCAATTATCTCAGCACAGGTCAGGAGTCAAACCTGCAATCTTCCCAACTGCATAGCTCAGTGGTACTTATGGTGGTGTCTTTACTCACTAGAGAGTGTTAATTTGTCAACTTTAAGTTGTAAGACTACTAAAAATAAATAATGAAAGCAGTTAACCCATTTATTCATGTGTACTTAGATGAATGTTACAAGTTGCAAAAGCATTGTTATATTAAAACATTCTATTGAAGTTCATGAACTGCTAAACATGTCACAAAGCATGATAGCATTATCATTGGTATTGCCCCCAGTGCTGAGAAAGCAATTCACGTAACAGAATATTTTTGAAAGGGAAGAAGATAAAAAAATGGAATTCCTGTTAATACATGGTTAAAAATAATAGGTTGTGGGGTAATATGTTGTTCAGATTCTAAAATTGTTCCTTCTTCTAAATTAACTGTAGATTTTGGTGTGTTGACTAGTTCACTGCACACTATAATGACACCTATACTGAGCACCTATTCACTAGAATGATTTGGATAGCTCCATTCTAACACGTACAATGCACCATAATGAAAATTGATTAAAATTGCATTTCATTTTCTTCCAAAATTGTTAAGTCAGGAAACCAGTGGCACTTGCCCTCTATTCTCTTCCAAAATAAGATTGGAGATAAAATTACCTGTGCTCTAAACGTCGGCAGGTGATCAACTCCACGTCTGGCAAAGTCTTTATACCCAAAGCTTGGGTCTTCTACATAGCGAGATATGTAAGAGGTTGGAATTACCTCATCTTCGAAAGCTGTTGGGTCATTAAGTTCAATGCATAAGTAATGTAAGCATGGACAAATTCAGCCTCTTCCTATGATGAAGAAAAAACAAAAACAAAGCTGGAAGGATTGGCCGAACACACACAATTCTATCTGACTCACCAGGAGAAACATAGGATTGTACAGGGTGGCATCAATGTCCAACAAGACTTAACCACACGACTAAATCATACATGTGCAACATGTTGTCCAGTGGAATGGTGAGATCTCCAACTTGCCGGCAGTTGGTACCAAATTGCAGGAAATGGCAATCAGGTTACCGGTTCTCAAATTCAAATATCGTTTGGATTTACAGCTTTTATGCTGGTGGCTAAAGGCATGAACTTACCTATTTACTAGGGGTGGGAGGGGGAAGAATCTAATACACTGAAATACCATACATTCATTACAATTTTTGGCAACGATGGACTTGTTTCGTACATGAATAAATGTCACAAGCCTCCCTCATTTGGGTTAGTATCTTATGTGGTAGAAAATCTGAATAGCAGCAAAATGCTTAAGAAAATTGCCAGATCAGCTCTTTTGAGGCTTTGAGAACTGGGCTGTCTGGCTGTACAAACATTTTGCTTTCCAGATGTAGCAAATATTAGCACCGTCTGGCAAGCTTCGACTTGGATGTCAGCAGATTAATCAATGCAAAGGTCTTGTTAAATAAAACAGCAAATGCCTTTTATTTAAAATTCAATGCTGGCTTGTAAGAAAAGTTTGCTTCGAACTAGAGATTTGAAACGTCACTGCCTTTTGGGAAATTAAATGCCCCAAAGTGCAAGATTAAAAATAATTTAACAAAAACACTTTCAGGATCCTGTGCGCATTAATTTTTCAATAAAATATTTAAAAATTCCCACACAAGTCAATATGAAAAGGTTTACAATTACAAAATCAAATTGAAAAGACTGAAGAATGCTGTTACTAAGTATCTCAGAAAAAGAATGTGTCACTAAATATGCAAGTGGTTTCATTTATAATCGGTCATGCTTTGGACTATCATGTGGTTTAATTGTGTAACTGACTTGAGTGGAAAGGATGACTTACTTGACTGCAGACTGACCTTCATGTCACGGCTTGCCAGCAAGCAAGCTGTCCATTTATGTTAAAAATAAAACTACAACGTGATCCCTGCCATGTGTGACTACCTGAAATACCACCTGTTGGTACATCCACACAATCATCAAAAGGCAAGACCACTTTTTGAGACTGCATCCTTTGCAATTGAACAAAAAAGACCCCTAACCTTATTTATAAATAGGGTTGTAATGTACACCATTTAATAACGCAAAGGAATCTTTGAAACTTGAGAAAAGAGAAGTTTGTGACACACTCGTGTCAATTTGGCTCAGCTGATTGTGATCTTGCTTCTGGGTCAGAAAATAGGATGAGCTCCTAGTCTTGGCTGATACTCAAGTGCAGTGCTTGGAGAAGACTGCATTATCAGAGGTGCGACATTTCAGATGGGATATAAAGCTTAAGGTACACCTGTTCTTCAGGTGTACATTAAAGATCCCACAACACTACTTGAAGAGTTTGATCTGGTGTCCTGGCCTATAGTCACTACACTTACACTAATTGCTCTCAAGCAATTAAATTGATAAGGCACGATAAAAATCAAGTTCTTAATTGGACATCTTTTTCCTTATCTTTCACACGCATTAGTTTTTGAAGGGAATTAGGGGAAGCAGAAATACCTGTCTATATTCAGTATGGATTGCTACATTCAACACCAATAAGCATCACCAATCTCAACAAAAGAGAAATCAAATTCCCAATCTGACAGAAGACACTTTGGAAAATGCCGTCCAGTTTGTAGCTGGATAAAAGCGTAATTTTCTAAGCAAGAGAATATTTTTGTACACCCATATAGTTAATCTTGTAGAAAGCAAGAGGTCATCCCGGGTTTGAACATGAGAAAGTAATTGGTAGCTCCAGCAATGGGGATCACAGGCAATGAGTGAGACCAGGAGATGTAGATGTAACAAACTCCTTCTCGAGCATCATTTGTCATTCGATTTCCTGAAAGCACCTCCCCTATAGCAACCGGCTCAAATGCACTAAGAGGAATTTCTCAAGCTATCTTCTCAATAATTTTACATTTCAGATCAAATGAATTACCTCCAGTGGCTACTAAAAGGCTCTCCTTTTTCTCTTTCTCAAACCGTGTTGCCATCTCCTCTTGTGATGCTTCTTCCTCTTCTTCCTTCTCTTCCTGGAGTCTCTTCATTCTTTCCATTAGATTTTCCAGCTCACTGACCGAGTCTGAGGTCTGAAAAATCATTGAGCAATTAATATTATTAGGGTAATTATGGCAATCACAATAAATGTGCAGACTAATGTAGGTACAAGTAATCCACTAAGCATTAAAACACAGATCACTTAACAGCTAGTAGTGATTTTTACAATGAGGACTAGTACAATTAAAAAAAACTTGAACACAACACTGCAAATATTTAGACAAACTTTTCCAACCGACAATGTAGAAAGGAATTGAGGAACAATATTAATGTAATGAACAGTACTGTACCTGGTAATAATGGAATTAAAATGGTGGAATACTTAACAAATAATTTGGGAGAAATTGCACTGGTGTCCAGAATTAGTAAAATACATGTACGCGTTACAAATAGAACATGCCATAAAATACCCATATATATTACAGTAAATTCTGTGAAATGATTTGATAAGTGCTCCTGGAGTGAAAGGCACTATATCAAACGCAATAATTATTCTTGATTAATAATAATTCCTTGATTATTCAAGAGTTGACATGTTTATCCGCAGCACGTACCAGTGAAGATGAGCAAAGATCTAACTGCTGAATTGACTCTTTAACCTCAAAATTTGTACAGTAATAACGTCAAATACAATTGGTCCTAGCTCTTCCCATATTTGTAAATACTGTCGTGATGTGAAAATTAGTGAGGTTCAAAAATCCACTATTTTTATTTACTTCATAATATTGCATTAAAAAGGTTCCTAACCCTTGGGCGTATATTATACAGCTCTATTGGTAATCTTACTTGTCACGGGAGGCAAATATTACAAATAAAGGCAGATGTTATAGTTTAAAGACAAGTACAATAAATTACACTTTACAGGGACAAATCCTGATCCTCAATCAATCTGCTGGGCTTGGCAAGTGATCGCATCTTATTCTCTGCTGGTTGATAAACATATTGAACATCAAGTTATCACACCTATGGGTTTTGGGATAATTAATAAGCCTCCCGAAAAGTGGTTATTCTTTTGGGCACAAATACTGTACTGCACTTTAATTAAAACATCAATTTCTGGTAATCCAAGCAAACCGTTAAGGATTTTGCAGTATTTAGTCAGTCATGTGTTTTTAAACGCATGAACATTACACTTACAAAGTCCACAACCCATCGTCAGCCTAATATGTGCAGCCAAGCACAGCAATAGGAGCAGTTACTGGAAGTAATGAGGCTAAAATCGCAGTAGGTCTGACACAGTAGTTGCATAATAAGGAGATTTAATGTATATTGAAAATCGTGCAAGGAATACATAACTCATCTTTACACATCTCTGGATTTGAAATACCAAAAAAAGGTCAAACTAGACATAAAGAGATTTCTCCTAGCTCTTCCCATATTTGTAAAAGGTAACATCAAAAGTGCACTTTTTGTATTGACTTTATGATACTCAAGGTCACCAGGAAAGAGCATTAGCAACATCAAAGCAGCAGGATAATCATCATAGGCATAGAACAGCTGACTGGCCAGGTGTCAGTGAACAGGCGAGAGAACATTTATTCTCCCTGGTTCAGGTTCCTTAAAAACCATTAATCCATATTTTAAAAAAAACTTATGTCACCGAGAGGGCAGGGCACAAACAAAGAATTTTTTTTAAAAAAGGGAAAAAGGAGTTGAGAAAGTGCTTTGAATTTGGAAGTATTAAGGGAACGGGCAAATCATTTAAAATTTTCTGCTCAATGAAAGCAAATAGATAACAAGAGGTTCAGTTGAAGAAATCTTTCTGACATTTGATCTCCTTCATCCAGAATACCAAGGTTTCAATCCTCCCATCACCATTGGAGTAAACATGAATTGCCAGAATTGTTCCCAAACCAAGCTTTTAGTGAATTCAAGAACTTTATCATCTTAATTTATGAGTCAATATTCAACCACACCAGAGCGTTGACATTTCAATCACCACTGTCTCAAAATTCATGATCGTACAGAATTTAATCGTATTGAACAAAACTGGAAAACCAGCTTCTAAATGAAGAATTTTCCAAATATTCTGCACATTTTAAATTGAGAGGAATGGTCTACAGAGAAAGGCCATGAAGAATGTTAAGCCTTTGCTATTCAGAAGGTCAACAACATACTGGCAGGGTTCAAGCCTTCAAAATGCTCAGTGTATCTCAATTTGGACCATTTCAATTCAAAGGAGTAGTCTTCATAAAAAAAACTTTTTTATTAAATTACAAATGCATGACATAATATAAATATGGAGTCCTGTAGCTCAGTGGTTAGAGCACTCGCCTTTCAAGCGAGAGACCTGGGTTCGATTCCCAGCAGGTCAAAACCTTGGGCAAGTTTCCTTACTCCACATGCCTTATAATAATCCCTCAAGAAAAAAAACACACAAAAAAATAATAATTTGGTCACTTCAATCCACAATTGTTTGTGGGACACTGCTGTGCGCAATTGGCTGCTGTGTTTCGCCCACAAATATACACTCAATTCACGGTATAATTTACAGTATATTCTGTGAAGGGCTTTGAGATGTCTAGAAGACTTGAAAAACGCTACATCAAATGCAAGGTTTTTTAATATTATTATAAATTTCTTCAATATCTAGCGAGTGTATTCATGCTTGTGAAGTGAAGACCTTGTTAGCACTCCTCCTTTGCCCTTTCCAAACTAAAGGAATGCTGACAAATACCTTCTGATAAAGACAGTGCCCTTTACCCTTTAATGGGCATTTAGGCCGCAGTAAATTACCATCGGGTTATCAAAGTCACAATCCTGTTATGTGAACTGAAGAAAAATATTTAGATGTCGATCAGTCAGCACAGCATGTTTGTCAGGATTTTTATTCTCAGCACAGCGAAAGGGGTCAGGTTACTAAGATCCAAGAACTCCCTTAAACAGCTGAAGAGTAGATCATAGTTGCCAACATCAGGGAACTTTTAAAAGATATTTTTGAGGCAAAAAGAGCGAGATATACCGTTGACCTATTTAAGAGAATTAAGCCATGTTTCGCAGTCAGACACATCAAAAAAACGGTTACATTTTTAACCCAAAATAAGCAAGTCTCACTCTGGGTCTTGTGTTCTGGAATTCTATGTAGAGGAACTTACTTCATGGAACACAAGCAGAGGGAAGAGAGAAAATAGAAGAATATTTTTAAATAAATTATTTAGTTTATTTCATATATTATTATTTAATTAAAACCTGTCTAATTACCCCTTCAAACTATGGCTCTAGCCGCAGTTTCAAGGGGGAATTAGACAGGTTTTAAGAGTAAATGGGAAGAATCGTGCAAGGTGGGGCAGGAAGAAATGTAAATTAGGAAGAGACCTTTCTAGTTCTGCACATTCCTATGGGAGAAATTTCACCTAAAAGCCTACAAATTGAACATTCTTTTTCTCAGTTACTATCTGGCCCTATCATGGAGTAACGAATCCACAAGATGCTCAGCAGTTATCTGTTGGTTGGCACTACAGATGTAATGCAAACCACTTAATGGCATACGAAACAGGTGAATTAAGCAAACAGAATAAAAGTATTACAAATGCATCAGGAAGAGTCAAATAATAATAATCCTTGCAATTGATGTAGTGCCTTTTACATCGGGGGGTGTCCCAAACAGGATATACTGTAAGGTGTAGTGACTGCGCAGTTTGTCAGTGGATTGATTACACATAGATAGAAAGATTTAATTTATTCCTTCAGACTTTGAACCTCTGTCTTTGTCACTAGGGAATAAAATGCAACTATGCATGTGGCCGAAAATCAGTAACATTTTCCACCATCTGCTCCTCTAATTTTGCAACCTTGCGCCAACTCAGGTAACTGATCTTTTTGAACTAAAAACTAGTATTTAATAGACTATATTTCATTCTCGTTCTTTTTTTCATTAAATATGCAACCTTTGAAGCTGTCCACACAGAGTCTCAACACAATGATCACAAGAAGCCAATTTTCCTAATACATCTTAACTGAGATGTAGCTGGCATAAAACTATTACACCTTAGACTGTCTTAATATAATAGAAGCAAAGGAAAACATTTGTATTTTTAATGTCTAACTTCAAGAAATCTGTTAATTTCCTAAACGGAAACTTAAATAACCTTATTTTACACATTAGGGTTTCCTAGGGGCAAATCCTTGAATTTGGTATAGTACCTTTCACATCGGAAAGACATTTGAAAGTGTTTCACAGGGTTTACTGTAAAGTGTAGTGACCGTGTAGTTGTAGGATAATGCAGCAGCCAATCTACACAAAGCAATGTTTCCCAAATAGCCATGAAATGAATGACCAATTTCATCTGGGTGATTGTTGATCAGGACCCTGGAAAACTCTCTTCTCTTTTTTGAGTAGTGCCATGGATTCTTTAACATCTATCACAAAAATCAGATGGGAGCTCAGTTTAATGTCTTATCCAAAGGACAGATTTGAAATAGTATTTAAGAACTGTGTATTCTGGAAACACCTCTGCAGCTGAAATAACTTACACTGAAATAATAAAAGTACTAAAATATATCAAAGAATTTAAAAAAACTAAAGCCTCAATAGTGTTAAAACATTTCACATTTTGCAATGAAAATGGTCATTAGAGTGATTACTTATTGATAATGTTTGTTAGGACATTGAACTGACCCCAGGACTGCTGTTCATAAATAGGACATCCTCTTTGTTGTTCTGATTGGTGACGCTACAGCCACAGAAGTTGCTGATGGCCGGTGCCCTGAAGCTCTGGCTGCTATCTTGGTCAATCTCCGGGTAAATTCCACTTCCGAAAACGAAGCTTGCCAAGGCATGGTAATGCGCCAACAGGACCATGGCATGGACCAGCTCAGCCAGAGACCAGCTGTTCTCTCCAGTTTTAAGCAATTTCTAAGCAAAAACAGAAGCACTAAAGTTAAGACACTTACTGCTTCGCCAAGTCCACAAACTCTACTCATTAGACATTGTCTGGGAGTTTCACCGAAAAGTCACAAGGACAGCAGCAGTGTGCAGCGGGAATATAATTCTGAGGGAAGAAGGGCATCTTCTGAAGTAGGGAAATTTTTGGAGAGGTTTCAGTGTAATGCCTTAGAATGCCCAGTACAGATCCTGGGTCAAAATATACTCCTCAGAAGTCATGCTTCTCACTTTGAAAAGCATATTATATGATTACAAAAATACTTGCTTTGTTCCTGTGTAAAAAGTGCTGTTGCAATGTCCAAGTGAAGTTCGTTAGTTAACAAGTTACCAACCATTAAAGCTCAGTGAGATTCTATACAATGGGAGTAAAAGGGGGCATGGGTTGATACAGTGCAGAATTCCATGCATACTTAGCCGATCATTTATCTTCAGGGTACACCTTGGTGGGATAACAGAAATAAAATGTTGCCCTTTCCTAACCCCACCAAGTGTCAGATTTCAGATAAAAGCAAAAAAAAATCAGTAGTTCTTTTGGTGCAAACATTAAAAAAAAGTTGAAATCTCTTAAGTCATCCAAAATGTGAAAAGTATAAAAATAGAAAAATAGAATCAGTTCTTCTTTCGGTGAAAATACAAAAATAAAATTATGACTCATCTAAGGATGTGGGTGATGCTCACAGGGCCAGCATATGTTGTTTCGACCAGGTTACCCTGGGAAAATGGTGGTGGGGTTTCCCTTTAAACTGCTGCAAATACAACAACAACTTGCATTTATATTTATACAGTGCTGAGCCAGGCAGAGGGGCGGTGACTTTAGGCATGGTCAAAGAAGAAGGTCTTCGGGCGTGTTCTGAAGACAGGCAAGCAGGGAGCAAGGCAGAGGGTTGAGGCAAAGAATTGGGTTCTAGTGCCTGAAAAAACAGACAACGATGGTGCAGTGGAGGGGACAAGGGAAGTGCAGGAGGGTGGAGCCAGCTGAGCGAACGGGGTGGGTAGAGGAGTGGTGTGCAATATAAATAATGTGTAAATTCCAGAGTCATTAGAAGCCATCCCAGCACTAAAATAACTCAAAACCTCAATGCGATCTTACCTTGATATGTTCCTTGGTGATCAGCCAGGGCCTGTGTGCCAGGATTTTGTTGATCTCATTGAGATTCTTCAGTTTCTGTGGGATGTGTTCCAAACCATTCAGCCACTCTCCATCTCCACCTACCTGAAGGAACTCATTGACATGAGTGTTTATCAGATACGAACACTGATGTCTAGCTGCAGCCTGGTGAAAGGTCACAAAAATATGCAATTAGCAATAATAATCTATATGTTGATATATCACATCAATAGACTGGGTGATAATAACAAGATAGTAAGACTTCTTGCCTCCCGAGGGGAGGAGAGGAGAAGAACAGAGAAAGAGGAAAGCACCAGCATCGATTTGGGCATAATGCTGCATAAAATCATAGTTATTTAAAAGATGCAACATTTGCCCATATTCAAATTTAAAATCCCAGTCTAGATTTCCTCTGTTTTGCAGAAACATTGTAACTAACCATCTGCAATGAAAAAACTCAATGCTCAATTTATTTTGCTGTCTAATTACCATTATAGCTAAGTAGTGCCTGTGCTCAAAAGGGAGAGGTCCATCCATACGCAAGATGTAATACTGGGTTCGGAGAAAGGATTCCAGGTATTGAGGATGCAAACCCATGACTTGTGTGGCGTTGTCAAGGTGACCGGTGGTGGAGTATTCTTCCAGAAATAGCAAGTCGGTATGCCCATCTACAGAGTTGGCTTGGACAATCTGAAAGAAGGAAGCAATAGAAAAAGAACTGTATAACAAAAAAAGTTGTGTATAACAAAAAAAGTCGTTTTGAGAAATTATTTCATTGTAGTTTTTAAATTAATTTTTGTTGCGTCTATCCACAGTTGCGCGAACATCTCACAAGGTGTAGAGCACAGAAGCGCTGCACTGGCACAGCTGAAAAGGCGTAGGCTCAGAATCACCGACAAACCATTTCAAACTGCTTAATTCAACAGTTTTTAAATCTGGCAAAAACAGTCAGAGCACAAACAAGGAAGTGGATGGGGGTAGATGAAAATAAAGAAGAAAAATGGACAAACCAACCTATTATGAAAACTACAAGAGTGTAATCTCTGCGAAGCCAGCAAATGGTGTTCTGTGCACTACATTCAACTTCCATTTACATTACAAAAAAGATTCAACAAACAACCCTTTCCTATACAATCTTAGATGTTGCATTTTCATTAGGATGTTTGGCAGTCTATTCTCTTTATGATAGAAAGGGGGAAACTGGGAAGTGGACTGGACAAAAACGCTCTAAAACATGTGACTAACTCAATTTATGTGACTTAATGCTGGCCAATTTCATCTGACTGTGCCAAGCTGTGACTGAAGTCTCTTGAAGACATGGCAGAACAGAAGCCAAGGACAGGGCTTTTAAAGAATGGCTTTTACACATTCATGAGAAAAAACAATTCGGATTAGAAAAGATTAACATTGGACCAGATGATGGAAACATTGAATCTTTTTACATATCCCTTGGTTTACATTTCGGTGTAGACCTTGGGTGTTGATTTTTTTTTGGGGGGGAAGAATTTCAATGTAGGAAGTGAGAAAGAATTTTTGATACTTGAGTTTTTTGATGGGATTGTTGTCACAGGAAGACTTTACAACAATGAAGTGTCACTTTTATCTTAAATAAATGATTGATGTGGTTCAAATCCAAGGACTTTATGGGTCCTTGCCATAGGATACAGAAATCTTTTTTCCTGTTCACTCAACATTGAAAGAAACTACAATTCTAGCAAGACACAAATCCCTCATCAAAGCAAAAATTATATCAAAAATATTTGAAATGACTGGAACAACAAGTTGTCTTCACATAAAGGAGGTTTAGTGAGATATAACCCAATACAAACAGCTAAATCCATAAATGGAATCCAGTGAATGACAAAAATCACTAAAGTTAGTAAACATGGAAAAACATACACACAAGCAATATGATCATGGGGAAAGCTTGGAGCTTTCAGCCCATTTGATCTTCTTCCAGAATATATAATATAATTTTCCCATTATAGCATCACAACGATTCTTAAATACCTGTATGACATGAGATCTTGGCTTCAACCACTCTTCCTGGTAATTTCTTCACATTATTAATTACCATCTGTGCAAACCCTTCCTGACATCTCCCCTAAAATTGCCCTTCACAATCCTGGACCCATGACTTTGGTCTTGCTGTCTTGGCATCTGAAGTATCAACCTAGGTTTAGTTTTTCTACCTACAGTTAGCATTTGGGTCCCCTCTCAGACATCTCTTTTCCAGGCTGAACATCTCTAGCTTATTGAGCTGTTACTCATATCTCATTCGTGAAACACTGGAGACCACTGATCTTCTCTCCACTTGCCTCCAGGTCCTGAACTACTGTTTATCGTTTTAAGTTGTATGCAGTTTGAACGAGTCTCCCTTGCTATTGATGAACATGGAAAATTGCTTTTCTGAAATTATTTAGGGGATATTAAAACAACTTGCATTTATATACCCTTCACACAGGGTAGCATTTTGGATACTGCCTTAAATCACATTTGAGTTAGGTCAGTATATTCTGATAAGGTCAAGTGAGGTTAAGCAGGAATCCAAGATGATGGTAAACAGGAACACTGCACACAGTATTATAAATGTGATCTCACTGAGGCCAAGTAATCACTTCTCTCAACTTATATGTTAGTAACTTACAGTCGTGAGATCATTACGACCCCATTGTGGAAATGTAAACTTGTGGATAATGGGTTAGCACATAAATTCAAAATATCTATAGTACCAACCATAAACTCCTCCATCAGAAGCTTTATTGTCACTTTTGTACTATATTTAGCAGCCCATCTCTTCTCTCTCTCTAACTCTTTCTTTCTCTCTTCTGCTACAACTCTACGTTGTACCCAACAAAAAGAAATTACTGCTTAATAAAAATTGATCTTGTGGTGCTGGGAACTTCACCAATTTTTTTATATACATACACCTTCTTCCTTTGACAACAGAGCCCAATGCAGATAAACAGAAACAGATATGCAGCTTTAAGCTGTACTGATTTGCAACTGCTATTACACTGTCCTATTCTCTCGTGGCTCCCCTATTCCTTTTTAAAACCCACTACTATACAAGTGTTTTTCTTGGATAAATGGGCATTTCCTAGTCTCCGCAAACTTTGTAAATCCTCTTTTTTCCTTAAATGTCTTTTATGATCCAATTTAGAATTGTTTTTATGATATTTTCAGACCATTATTTCATCTCCTTGAACTCTTCAATCCTATCCCAACCCATTTGTATCTCCTACCGCACCCACTCTCTCTCCGGCACCCTAGAATCATCTGAACTCCTGCCCCTCTAGGCATCATCCCATAACAACCTTTACTCTTCAGTCACTTTCCTCCATCACGCCCTATCTGCTCTGCTTCACACTAGCCCCTCTGTCACCTCTCGCACCGCCACCCACTCCTGTAAGTCCCCATGGTACACCAGCCACCTCTGCTCCCTCAAGTCACACAAACATGACACTGAACAAACATGGCACAAATCCAATCTAACGGTCCATCAGCAGATCTGGCTGGATCGCATCAAAACCTACCGCTCTGCCCCTGCCTCAGCTAAATCATACTTCTACTGCCAGCTCCGCTTCTCCAGCACAAACCAGCTAACTCTGTCCACCCTCCCGTGCCTCGCCCATCCTCTCCTCTAATTCCAAATGTGAGATGATGGACTTCCTAGAATCCAAAATTGAGGTGATCTCCCCCGCACCCCCACATACACTTTTGACCCCTTCTCCCCCTCTTCTCTAACCTCTATAATTTCCCAAATGAAGCACACCACCTGCTCCTTTGGCCGCATCCCTACCTGTCTCACCTCCCAGTTCCACCTCCTTGTGCACTACTAATAAATGCCGTCAGCTTCTCTTTGCCCACTGGCAGCATTACCACTCTCTTATAAACAGCAGTTATTACCCCCACCCTCAGAAAAACTTCCTTTGACATATCTTGGTTTTTAAACTACCATTCCATCTCCAACCTCTCTACAATCTGGTTTCCGTGCTGCCCACTGTACAGAGACAGCCTTAGTTAAAGTTACAAATGACATTCTCTCCTCTGTGACCAGGGCTCTCTTGGTCTCCCTCTCGATCTTTCTGCTACCTTCAACACTATCGACCACTCTATTCCTCTCCTTTCCACCTTCATGGATCTGTCTTTGCCGGGTTTCGCTCTTACCTTTCCCATCGTCTCCACTTTGTATCCATAAACAAATTCTCCTCCAGCCTTTGCACAGTCATGTGAGGCGGTCCCTAAGGCTCCATCATTAGTCCTTTCCGCTATTTACATGCTCCTGCTCAATGATATCATCCGCAGACATGGGATTAACTTCCACATGTATATAGATAACAACTCTATCTCTCTACCTCCACCCTCGACTCCAGGACAGATTGTCAGTCAGACATCAATTCTTGGATGACAGCCAATTTTCTCCAGTTGTCTTGGATGACATCAAATATTCTTCAGTTGAACGTAACAAGACCGAGGCCCTCCTGACTGACTCCCGTCAGTGCCTCCTCACCTCAGGCACTGACAGCATCACCATCCATGGATGCACACTCCACCTCACTGAATCAGTACTGAACCTTGTTGCTTGTTTGATCCTCTACTTGGTTTTATATTTCACATCCACGCCATGACCCGCTCTGCTTTCCTCCACCTCCACAATATTGCCCTATCTCCACCATTACCTCTCTCTTCAGGCCTCTGAGACCCTCATCCATGCTTTAATTATGTACAGGCTTGACTACGATAACTCCGTACTTGTCGGCCTTCCCAACTCTTCCCTCGACAAGTTATTCAGAACTCTGCCGCTCATGTCCTTTCCCACACTGAGTTTGATGAGCTGATCACCCCCATCCTTGCCTGGCTTCAGCTGGTTCCTTATCCCCAAGAGGATCCAATTTAAGATCCTCATCCTCACTTTTGACATCCTTCCATGTTCTTTCTCCTCGCTACCCCTGCGACCTACTAAAATGTTACCAACCTGTCCGCTCCCTCCGCTTGGCGGGCACTGGCCTACTCCATGTCCCTTGTCCGCCCCATAGGCAGCCAGGGCCCTCAGGGTTTCTGCCCCCCAACCTCTGGAACTCGGTCCCAGTGACCCTCCACCTCACCCCCTCCCATTTCTCCTTCAAGGCTCGTCTCAAAACTTTCATGTTTGGCCGTGCCTTCGATCATCCTCCTATCTCAGGATTCCTGTAGCTCAGTGGTTAGAGCACTCGCCTTGCAAGCGAGACACCTGGGTTCAATTCCAGGCAGGGGGAAACCTTGGGCAAGTTTCCTTACTCCACACGCCTAATAATAATCCCTCCAAAACAAAACAATAATAAATTGGTCATTTTCAATCCACGACTGTTTGTGGGACACTGCTGTGTGCAATTGGCTGCCACGTTTCGCCCACAAATATACATTCAATTCACTTTACAGCATATTCTGTGAAGCGTTTTGAGATATCTAGAAGACATGGAAAGCGCTATATCAAATGCAAGGATTATTATTATTTTATCATCTCCACTCCCCCTTACACTTCACCCCTTGATTCCAATCCCCATCTTGGACGCAAACCCCTCATGAGTAACTTGGTTCATCCTCCCGACATGAAAGGTGCTATATAAATGCAATTGGTTCTGGTTTTATTTTTATGCTGCAGAGGCCTTTAGGAAAACTTTGTGTTGCTCATGACAACAAGGCCAGTTATTAGAATAAATAAACATACGGTACCTCTGTTGCTGGTATAAAGGCACTTGGTCCTGTTGTCAGAGGGCGAGGTACTCTCGCCCCTTTTTCCTGTTGATAGAAGTTAATAATTCACTGGTTAGACTCAATGACGAATTTACAGAATAGAGTAATATCAAGTGTAATAATAATAATTATTAATACAATAATTATTATACTGATTATTAATAATAACTGTTAATATAATAATAATAAACTAATGATAATAAGATCCTTGCATTGGATATTGCGCCTCATCACATCCCAAAGCACTTCACAGGATATACTGTAAAGAGACGTGACTTTGCATTTTGTGGGTATAAAAGGAGATTTACAATTAGACTCTACCACTGTAGAGTTAATTGTGATCAGGGTAGTTCTTCTCGATTCTGGAGGAGCAGATATATAATACATTCCAACAAACACTACAGACGTTTCTTTAATCCTTTATCCACAGAAAAGTCCTCAGGTAAAGCGGAACCTAAATTTGAGCATCTCTTCTCACCAAATCTCTGTTCCTTGCAGAAAAACAATTCTCGGAATAAGGTGTGAGATGGGCAATTTTAAGACTGCAATTTAATCCTGAGGTAGATGATCATGAGAGAAATAAGTCATCTGAACTAACAGATTTGTTTACCATTTTGTAATCAGTCCCAGACAGCCATTCATATTTTATGCTATATATATTTAACACAAGAGACACACACACACCATATACATGGACCAGGTACTCAATAAGCTATGTAAAAATTACTATAATTTTACTGTATTATGTAAAAGGAAGACTGAACTGCAAGAACATTTTTCCTTGTATTACACTGCTCCAATTCCTAACTCTGTTTTGCTAAGATTTTTTGGGGTAATCAATATGAGAGACGTCAGAGCTGAGGATTGAAACTCTCCATTTGCACGGTGGTCAGTAACAAGGACTCCTATCACAGATTTGATCCATTTCATTGCTGAAATTTCCTTCTGCTCTGTGCCAACAAAGTGCCATGACCCAGCTTTAAACGAAGACCCCAAATGCATTAGTGTGACAATTCCATGCCAACATCAGGTGTGAGCTGTGGACCATGACCACCAGAACCTAGACTCTGCCCAAACACAGTTCACTTTGGTCTCCTACAGAAAATCGAGGATAGAGATCTTCATCCCTTTAGTCTGAGCTGAATTCAAACTTCAGCCCCAAAGATGCAATGGCCAATATCCCAAATCATTGAGCATATAGTTTTTTTTTAGACATTCTTACAGTGTGTCATAATTTAAGTCACCTTGTTTTTTTCCCCTAGAAAATAGTTAAGCAATATCACTTGTAATTTCACCCCATGTCACTGTTCTTACGCACATATTGAACTGTAGGTCACAGAATTGCTCTTATGCAGGAACTGGAAGTTCGTGGATTAGCGAGACAAATAGGTTACACAAAGCACTATTAATGATAGGAAATTAAAACCAGCAAAAATAAACATGCACCATAATTAAATGGAAAGGAAAACAGAAACAGGAAAAAAAGTAAATAACTTCTATTTGATTTCAAAACTAAATTTCTGGCTCTGTGTTAAACACTCGGATCCGTCTTGTGCAACTGATCAACAAAAAGTTATTCTTTAAACAAAAACATTGCTGAATATGGTGTAGCCCATTGAGGGACACGAAGTTCACAGTTGTTGATGGAACAGGATTCTGTTGCTGTGGTAGTCGGTTTCTACTGTAATGTTCAGGTCAATTTCATGTAGTCCAATTATTTTTTCCATATTCACACACCAAAAAGCGGTTTTAAGCACTAGAAATCCAAGCAGCACCAATGTTCACCTTGCAACAAAAATGCTCTCAATGAAGACTTAGGACTACAAACTTAGACTTTCCATTCAAAAAAATGCAATGGAGCAGGACTTGAAAAAGTGTTTAGTCATTTAAGATATGGAGAGAATACATACATGAATGCAAACACAGCAAAAACATTCTGCTGGTTTATTTAAGTCCGTTTGCATTATTCAGAGGAAGGGACATCAATTGCTTTAAATATATAGTCCATGGGTAGTAAATTACAGACATATACAGAAAAGGCAAGAATTGGGACTAAAGGATTGCTTTATGAAAGAGCCATAGCAAGTATGATAATATTGATAGCATTTAATGACAGCGCCCTATCACATTGTCGAAGTCTCAAAGCCTTTCACAGGATATACTGTGAAGTGGATTGACTGTGCATTTTGTGAGTGGAATGGAGCAGCCAGTTTGCGCACAGCAGTGTTCCACAAACAGCCTTGGAGTGAATGACTAATTTTGTTTCAGGGATTTGTTGGCCAGGACAATGGAAAATACTCCCTTCTCTTTTCGAATAGTGCCATGGGATCTTTAACGTACACATGTCCATCTTAATATTTCATCCAAAGGACGGCATCTCCAACAATACAACATTCCCCTAGCACTGCACTAAAGTATAATTTTAGATTATGCGATTCCAAGACCCAAAGTGGGACTTGATCCCATAAACTTCTGACTCAGAGGCAAAAGTGTTATCAGAGCAAGACTGACACACCAGGTGGGTCGAATGGCCTTATTCTGTGCTGCATATTTCTATGGTTCCACAGTTCGGGCATCTCTGTTTGGTACATTGCAAGCAAAGAGCTTTTTATTTCTCACCATTCAAAACAAATTATTATAAATTGATATGGTATTCAAATCTGCTACACTTAATCTCCGACTTTGGCTTATATTCTTCATCACCCCAAGCTGCTGTTATCCATCCTTGATCGGTTTACTGTTTTTTTATAGGTTTTTGAGATTTCCACCCCACTTTCACAATATTTCCCACCCCTTTCCCTTTGCTGCAATTCAGATGCCAACCATCAAGGTCTGCACAAGGTTGCTGTGTTCTTTGACATGCTTTCAATTACACGTTTACCTGTTACATAATACTAGCAAGCAGGAGCACACCTCTCATCTTTTTCCGAGGGTCCGGCTGTTGAATTTGGAAACAGGAAACCCACTGTTCACCACATTTGGTCTCCATTTAGTTTGCTTCCTAAAGTGAATGGACATTGCTAAAATTCCTGAGTGATTCAGCGAGGAGTGTGGTGGGAAAGAGAAGCAAAGCATAAGAAATTGTATTGATCCGCTGCCCTCTTGTCCTTTCCAAATTTAGTGCTGTATTTCTCTCTCAGCCATCCTGCAATTCCTGTACCGGGACATTAAAGAATAACCTCTAACAAGTTCCAATCCTGGAAATTATTTACAATGATGCAGTTCACTGCAGATACCCAGGACATAAGATCCAATGTCTGCTGGATTTATGGAACTTGGGCCCTGTTCACAGCACAGCAGGTAGTGCAGTAACAGACAGCTCATTACTACCCCAACATGGTTTTGCATCCAACTGGTATGAAATGTAGAAACAGAAGGTGTGTGTCGCAACCTAAGTAGCCTCAAGCAAGACTGAAGATTGATTGTGTTGCCCAAGTTGTAGATGCGTGATACACTTCTGTGTGAAGCTGCAATTCTCTCAATTAGCACATTTAAAAGAATTGAAGGTTATAAGAACAAAACACAATGACATGATTAAATCTGTGAACTTACAAGACAATGATGTTCTGATGAAAAGGCAATATATATGGCTGAATGGCCTATCCTGATTCTGGCTACATTATGAATTTACAGCTAGTGTTGGGAGAGTTTATATACTGCTCAAATCCCTATGCAAATGGAATGTATGCAAAGCAAATTCCACAGTTAGGCATCCTACAAAACAAACACACTATGTTACATTGTGAAGCTGGACATAAGTCCTGTTTACACAGTAAAGTAATTTCACGTCTGATTTCACATACATTTTCTGAACGTTTTAAAATAGCACTGTAAAAATAAAATTATCCAGGCTTAATCTTAAAACCTCAGTTACACTAAGTGAGTTGAGGGGAAGGGGGAATGTTGGGTGAGGTGTGATACATTCCAATGAATCACTGGATAAGAATAGGACAGCTTCACAATCAATGCCAAAGGGTTTTGCAGAACAAAAGCTGCAGAACAACTGGATCGATTAGCACAGTTTCAAAGCAGGAGTTTTCACAGTTCAGCCATAGAGAACAGCAGATCAGCCAAAAGCCTGCACAGAACACATTATTGAGAGAAGATTTTATTTTTGGTCAGCTGGACGTCCGACATCACCATATTTAAGAGTATCCAATCCAAACTGAGAATTCCATCTACGGATGGAAATTCCAGAGATAGATTGTTGGAATGAAATGTCACGATCTCTCTGGAGAGACGTATCCTGCTTACCTAATTCCAGAAAGTATTAGGAGCAGGGTGGCAAGAGCCAAGGCTTGGGGACCCCAGAGAGTGTGTTGGGGTACTGCTGGAATCTAACCATCTAAAACCGCAAAGGTTGCCATTGATATCACTGTCTGGCAAGCTTTCCCGCTGCTTGGACCACCCTACCCATTAGGGCTTTGGTTTGCAGGGTTAAGAGGCACTGAGTGAGATGACTCCCTGCCCCCAGTGACTGGTCTGCCCTTCCAGGTCCTGTCAATGAGCCAGGCTAGCCGTGCTGGAATACTGTGGATCTGCCTGGCTCAAGAACCGACTACTGAGACCGCCAAAGGACTGGCTCGATTCTGACACCAAGCATGTCACCTTAGAGCCAGAAGGAGAAGAAAAGACAGTATGTCTCTTGGAAGAAGCGACAACGACCTTGAACTTGTGGGTACTAATTTTGCACAGTGCAGCTGCAGAACCAAAGTGTTGCACTGACTAACAGCTGTGGTAATATACTTTGTAGATTGAATATAGAGTCCAGATAGGGTGTGTTTAAAGCAACAAGGTGGAGATTCCACCTTTTTCTTCCACTAATAACCCACCCAAACTCCACCGCCGAATAAGAAATCGTATGTCATGCTTTTCTAATCTCAGCAACATTAAACAATGAAATAACCTTAACACTCATTTGAACAAAACCCTGATCATCCCAGTAAGCAAAAGATAAAGTATAACAGAACAGACATGCCTGGAAGGTTTGTTAGTGGTGATTGATGAGGTACAGTATATAAATATAATTACAAAACAGACTGTAA